GGGACGAAGAGGGGTTGAGAGTTGAGGGTAATAATGTAATTTTATGTTTAAATTAAAATATAAATATTTATCTACGGAACATTTTTATTTATCTATATAACATAATTATAATATATATACTTGTCATGTCATCAAAAAAATTAAAAGAAAATGTCAAATGGAATTATTTAATTGCCACGTCATGTTTAACTGACGAAAGAATCAAAATTGTGTAATTTTTAGAGTTAAAAAATCAAAAAAGTAAAAAGAATAATCTAAGGATAAAAAAAATGCAAACTTATAAAGTTGAGGGATCAAATTTAACATTTAACCTTTTCTTTTTATTTTTCCTTGCACGTGGAGGGTGATGTGGAAGGCATCATTATATCCACATCAACTGTTTCCGTTAAGTTAACGTACCACATAAGCAAAAATTAACGGAAAGACCAAAAAGGGGTCGGATTTGTGAATAGTAAGAACCAAAAAAGGGATTTTTTCGGTACAAGGACCAAAAAGGAGCTTTTTCCTATAGTAGAGGGACCAAAAAGGGTATTTAACCTAATTTATCTTAATTTGAATTGAATTACAAACTTAAATTGATGCAAGTAAACTTATCTAACACACTATTTATTGAATACTAAATTGAAGATTATATGTTTAATGGACAATGATTAGTACACACTCCGGTTCAACACATTATGTGACATATTCACTAAAAAATCATTATTTTTTAGTTTGAAATTAAAGACAGACAAGTATAATGATATAATTATGCACACAAGATGTAAGAACCAGTTGAATTGACTGTACTTATAATATAGTTTTAATGACTAAACCAAGAGTCTGTAAAAAAATATGTTGAACTGAAGGTGCATCAATCATTTTCCATGTTTAATTTCCACGTCACAGCACTTGAGAACCACATAATAAATATTTAAACATAACATTACTTCTTTAATCTCACATCTCTGTCTCTTAAAAGCAAACTTATAGTACAATACTTTAGTTTTTATATTTTATTATCAAATACTGTTTGAGATAGGTGCAGAATTATGAATTAACCACCCTGCAATTCTTCCTGATCTGTCCACTAGTCCCAGTAAGTGGAGTTATGTTCCCCATCCTGATCATGGAATTTGCAAAGTCACTGAAGAACAGAGGTTGATTTCCACTGTAGATTTGGACAAGACTCTTGGTCGTGGAAATGGCCTGGTCACTGGAAAACAGGATTTGGTCGGAACCAAGCAATCCCTTCCCAGTTAGTAAGTTCTGGAAATAATTGTTGTCGAATAGATCAACTGAGTTCCGGTCAAGAACAGTGGTTTTGTTTCCATCCCCGTTGACTGGACAGAGGGCCTGCAGATCAGATAACATGCTTGTGTCCAAAGTGCTGTCTGGAGATCCATTGCCAGAGAAGTTGAACAGTCTATTGCTAAAGGTTGAACACTTTGCTAGTCCAATTGTGTGACCTCCTGCACAATAGAATGCATATCAATAGAAGTCCACCTATGTAAACTTGATTTTTAAAAATAAATCAAAAACTCTTTGAAGCAACCCCTGTTTGGAAAAAATTTAGTTTGGAAATGCGATCTGAGATGGGAGTTTGCAACAGATTCACCTGATAAAGATACAACATCTGTGATATCATTGAGTCCGACAGCAGCAAACTTATTAATGATTGCAGTTAGATTGTCAAATGGAGAAGGAAGACTAACATTGGCTTGTGCTTTGTTTGGTATTAGTGCATCCCTTCTTCCTAATAAAACTTTCCATGTTGGTCCTCCACTCTGAAAGAAGAGAAAAAAAAAAAAAAATTTCGTTGTCCGTTGAAATCATCATGAGTATGTATATATTTTGATATCAGAGACAAAGTTGCAAGAAATCATCTCGATCCTTATGGTCTCTCACCAAAGAAAAAGAAAAAAAAGAAAAAAGAAATCGAACTTTGATCAACATGATCAGGAATAGACTTGCTACAAATATGCCAAATATAATGTAACTAAAACTTACTAAGAGAACAGAGTCTCTGGCAGCTATGGCTAGAATATCAGCACATGACACCACTCCACTGCATGCACTCTCTACAGCTGCTTTGATTGCATCAACAACCTCAAATCCTCTAGCAGAATTCAGATTAGGCAATGCAAACTTCTCACTCTGATCTCCATCCAACAGAATAGATGCATCACAACCCTGTGAAAGGAGAAGAAGAAGTTATATAAATTGCACCCATTATGCATATGCCATGATGAAATAGTAATCAAAATTCTTTGTGCTGAATTAGCAAGCTCACATTGACAAAGCAATCATGGAAATGAAGGCGAAGCAAAGACGCTGCCATCCGCGTTTCAGCCTTGATTGCCATCATAACCTGGCTCCGGACAATCTGAAGAAGATTGGGACATGTTGCTGAATAGAAACCAGAGGTAAGTTGAGACCTCACTGCCAAACACAGCATAAAAGCAGTCACAAGGAAGAAGCAACCCTTAAAATTGCTTGACTTCATGATTTCTATATCATGCGACAACTTCCCCACACAGCTAGAAAAAAAAAGGTCTAATGCTATGAGATAGTATGTATGGCAAAGCCATTCAAGTCCTATATATAACCAAATTCTAGTATACAAATTTGCAATTGTTAATTATGAAGAAGGTGATGAAAAACTTTGTGTAATTAAGTGGTCATGATGTATGGCGGCTGCAGAAAAGCAGCTATCTTTGTTTATGTAACAAAAGCTAAAAAAGATTAACGTGTTCAAAATTGATAAATAAACGGATAATTGATGAAGTGGGTTGGTAGTGATCGGATTGCACGCATGCAGCAGCAAGTGGGCACCATTAATTAAAATCATGCATGCATTAAGGAGGGAAAAATTGTTTAAAATTAAAGGATTAAGCAGTGAGGAAGATGACCACGGATTCATGTCTGCCCTGTTGATGTTTAATTTGGTCCATAGTGGGTTTAAGTAACCTAATTTGCTTAGAATATGCTTAAAGTAGTTATGTGTGGCACACAGACCTAGATATAACTTTTGTAGAAATGTTGCATTTAGATTATTTGTAGAAGTTTCAAATCGTGATTTTATAAAGAATAATCATAAAAATTTTTAAAATGAACAAAATGTAGGTAAAATTCTCTACTTGCATCTTAAATATTATTGTTTTTTGTAGTTAACTTCTTCTAAAATTTTCATTTTTAGTCAACATCTTTCATAATTTAAAACCTTATAAAAAATTCAAAATTAATAACCACGTTATATGCAAATTAGAGTATAAATAAGAGGTTTGATCCCTAACTTTAGAGTTTTTTTTATAGGTTTCAAATTCTAAAGTGTATTAATCAAGAATAAAAATTTTAAAAGATATTAATTTATAAAACAATAATATTTAGGTGTAAATAAGGAATTTAACCTAAAAATTATTATAAATTCAAAAGCTCAACAACAAAAGCAATCGACTCTATATAAGTTACAGGCCAGTAGTTTCAAGGAACACTAAATGCACTCAGCAAGTGCATGTACACTTCGAGTCTTCGACCTCCTATTGGCAAAGTGCCGAATTCTTAACTTTTTTAATTATGAAAAGTGCAATAACAATCAGGCGAGCACAAGTAGCATTGCTCTTGTAGTTTTAGTTCTTAGTCTTCGTTTTTAGATAAGTTAGACCATTCAAAAGATTTCATTTCAATTTTAATTCAATTTTTATAATAGAGAAAATATTTGTATTATAAGTTAGGATAAATATATATTGAATTAGATTTATAGATTAAAAAATTAAAGTATATCTTCATAAGAAAATTAACGACTTCATGACAATTTACAAAATCCAATAAGCAAATTACATTCTCAATATTATGAAATTTCAGATTTTATTAAATTTCTTTGTAGGTGAATCTTTTATTTTCCAACGTGGCGCCAAGAGTTGGCTGAAGAAAACTTGGCGCCAATAGCGTTTAACGGTTATGGGATAACGCGGGTCCACGTGGCAAAACGGGACAAGCCAGTTTACATAAACCACAGAGATTCACAAAACCCAGCAGTCACTTTACTCTGGCTATGGCTCTGAAGTTTGACGCAACAAAAAATCTTAACCTATGTGGCCATGGCTCTCCCTTCTCCATCTCGCCGCCGTTCAATCTCCGAAATGTTCCTTTCAACTCTCCCAGACTCTTCAAATGCTCCCTGACCCGGAAAATTTCACGCATTTTTGGGTCGGCTCTGGTTGATGAACAGCGGCAAGGACGAGAAGAAGCTTCCTTCACGGAGCAAGAGAAGCAGCTGGTTGAGGCGTTGATAGGTATCCAAGGACGAGGAAAATCGGCTTCGCCTCAGCAACTCAATGTATAAATAATGTTGAGAGTATACTTATATTTCTCTCCCGATTGTTATGAATGTTGATGTACCTATATTTTTCTCATGCTCTTCAAATTCATGGGTTTTTCTTGGTTTGTTTAAATTTTTTCGATGTCCCAGGAGGTGGAGCGGGCAGTGAAAGTTCTTGAAGGTCTGGAAGGCGTGCCTGACCCAGTGGGTGTTTTTGTCCTTCTTTGAATTTTTGAAATTTTAGTGCTCCTGCTTTTCAATTCTTCAAATCCCAGCGTAATTTCCACTGCTACTGAAGCAAAACTTTGCAGTCTTAATCAAGTTCAGATTTTTAGTGATGACTAGGGTTTAGTGGCAGACTTTGCCACTTATTATATGTAGAGAGTTGTCAGGGTGGATTGCACATTTTATAAGCATTGATAGAGAGGTGACGACCCATTATCAAGGGAACGTCCCTCACATCATTTTTCTGATATTTAGACTAAAAGAGAGGGAACTGATTTAGGTTTGCTTAATTGATGGTGTAAGATGTTGGTGAATAAAATTTGAGTGAATTTCTGCAGACAAGCTCTAGTCTAATTGAAGGCCGGTGGCAATTAATGTTCACAACTAGACCAGGAACAGCATCTCCAATTCAGGTTAGATTTCAGTCATCTGTTTATATCTTTGATTTGTTGCCCTTAATTTTTCAGCTATTCTGGCCTTCCACTTCAAAGAGTGGAGCATATACCAATATAACTTTGTTTTTTGTATGACAACATAAAGCATAACATATATATCAGTGGACTTCCTAGATTAAGTATGAAAATCCAGCAGTGGAGCACTAATACTATTGCTCATTTTAAATTGTAATCTTTAATCTCTACTGACATTCTTTCCAAGCGTTAGAAATGAACTTTGAGCATAAATTCACCAATCTACTTTAATTTCAGTTTGAGATATGCACGTCTGCTTAGAATATGAATATATGATTATGATATGAAATTCAGTGTGTGTCTGAGTGTCTCTCTTCCTGAGTTATCACCATCTTGCCTTGTGGTAATTTTTGTTTTATATTTTATATATATGTGTAGAGAACATTTGTTGGGGTTGACTTCTTTAGTGTGTTCCAAGAGGTATATCTTCGGACCGACGATCCACGTGTATCGAATATTGTAAAATTCTCTGACTCCATAGGTGAGCTAAAAGTAGAGGTATGACTTCATTCTCTATAATGGTTACTCCATAATATTCCAATATAATGTGCTAAACTCTTAATGGTTAAAAGTAACTCTTGTGCCTTAGTTTATCTAATATCAAATGCAGTCTGGACTGCACAACAGAGACTGTTGGATGAGGGGTGGTCCCCTCCATATTGGGGGCCCTCTCCCATCTAACCATCCCTATTTTGCAGTCTGGACTGCAAAACAGAGGACTCATGTAATACCATGTTTCATATATTTTCTTTCTCTATTGCGTTCATGTACTTGTCTCTCATATTTTTCAGATTTTAAGTTATTTCATTCATGTAAGTTCATCTCTATTTTTCAACATTTCATCTTTTTGTTTTTATACAGGCAGCAGCATCAATCAAAGATGGAAAACGAATCCTGTTCCAATTTGATAGAGCAGCCTTTTCTTTTAAATTTTTGCCATTTAAGGTGCCATACCCAGTGCCCTTTAGACTTCTTGGAGATGAAGCAAAGGGTTGGCTGGACACCACATATCTGTCCCCTTCTGGTGACCTTCGTATCTCAAGAGGAAATAAGGTGAATAAACACTTCAACTGCTTGCAAATATATTATCAAAGGACTTCAGTCTTACATAATCAAATCTTTAGCTAAGGATGTATAGCAATTACTCTGTAGTGCAGGGCACCACATTTGTGCTGCAAAAGAAGACTGAACCAAGGCAAAATTTGCTAGCAGCTATTTCCACAGGAACTGGAATTAAAGAGGTAGGTAGAACTGTCAATTTAGAATTTGACTCATTATTGGAGCAAATGTTAGTTTTTACCTAATGTTGTTCTGAATGCTAACTGCTAAGTTTCATGTGCCATAATCTAAGCAGGCAATTGATGAGTTTATCTCATTAAATCAGAGTACAGCTACAGATGGAAAAGAACTTTTGGAGGGAGAATGGCAGATGATATGGAGTTCACAGGTTGGTTTGTGATGACAGCAGCATCTAATTTACAGTGTACTCATAATTCATGGAAATAAACGAGAATGCTGTTTTAAAGCATGCACTATCAACCTGAGGCGTAACAAGAAAAATTCATTCCTGAAAGTGACTCGTTTTACTTAAAGTGATGATATTTCCAATCTTGTACTTTCTATAATCATTTTCTTGTCGTCCAAATTCCTTTTTCCAGCAGAGCATGCCTTACATCACAGTTTGACGAAGAAACTTATTCCTTGGTGTGTTGCAGGTAGAAACTGATAGTTGGCTAGAAAATGCAGGCAATGGTCTTATGGGGAAACAGGTAAGTAAGAAATGAATGGTCCATGACTTTGTGCAATGTTATTTTTCTCTTCCATGGATTACCTTGGGTCAAAATTCATATCTCTACTCTTTTTTAATGCAACTGCTTCAGATTGTTAAGGATGGACAGTTGAAGTTTACAGTTAATATGTTACCCGGAGTCAGATTCTCCATGAATGGCAAATATGTGTAAGTTACTCCTTTACCTCTTAGCTGTTGGTATACCCGGGGTTCATACTAGTTATATTAACTGAATTCTGCTAATAACTTAGTTCCTAGACTATGATTTATAACCACGAGGAATGAGCCTTTATTTTTTTGCAAATCTTTTGCTTTGTGAACCTCAATCTTATATTTTCTTCTGCAGGAAATCTGGCACAAAGACATATGATATTACCATGGATGATGCAGCCATTATAGCTGGTCCTTTTGGGTATCCCGTGGAGATGGAAACCAAGATCAATCTTGAGCTTCTGTAAGATCTCTCATCCAATTTTCCAATACCGTAGCCCGTAGGTTGAAAGAAATTACTCCAGTCAAGAATTTTCTCTACAATCTTATGGTTGCTGAAAAACCATTGCAGATACAATGATGACAAGATCAGAATTTCCAGGGGCTACAATAAGATTCTTTTTGTGCACATACGAACAGATGGATCAAAGCAGCTAAAGAATAGAAAATGAGCAACTCTAGGGAAACCAACGTTAGCTTGTTGCAGAAAATAGCAAACGAGCCTGTAAGCAGTTCAAGGCATAAAAGATCCAAGTATTGTATATTCTTAATTAAAGGTCCTAGAATTACCAAGAAAATCTACACTAAAACCTTGTTCTTGCTGGGGAATTTCCAAATGGCAATGTATGTGGAGAAGTTGCAGTACAACCAGCTGAACAATAATAGTTGCCTCCATTAAAACTTTTAACTATGATCAACAGATTGTAGCTGGCTCAGAAATGGGATCTTCTGTACCTGTGCTGTGTTATGCAAACAATTTGAAACAGATTTAGAACTCTATTTGTTGTAGTGTCATCTCAAACGTCAAGAGATGGGATATGTATTCTCGGCAATAGGAAAAGCAAAAGCACTCAAGATGCCAACAGTTGCTATCATCCAGGGCCAGTATCAAAAGAGAAAACAAGGATATGCATAAGCAAGAGCTCACTTGAAATTTATGTGAAACATCATCTGAAAATGAGTAATTGCATGTGAAATGAAATACTAATCAAAAGAAGAGAATAGATCCCAATTATCATAATTTCTCTCAAGCAGAATTAGTATACTATATCTATCTGTGACTTTGAGTGCATGTGAATTAATTTAACAGATAAAAGAAAAATCCAGTTTTATTACTCAAATTAATCAAGTGAGCCAGTGCTAACAAATTTGATAAGAAGTTTTCATGACATTAACAGAGAAATTTGAGTACACTGGCAATGGATTTACCTTTTAAAAGGTTCTTTCCAAACTTAAAACCACGAAGAAGCCCAGCAAACAGGTATGTGCCCGTAACAGAAAGAAAAGAACCTCATGGCTAATCCCTAGCAGCTAAACAAAGTCCTTCTCCATATTCCAAACTAAAAAAAAAAAGAAAAAAAAAGAGGAACAGAAAAATAACTCCTACATGGTTATATGAGGTCAGAGCGGACAACATTTTCATATTTATCCTCTCTGATCCAAGTCAGACTAGCAAAATATAAGACAGAACTACACTAAACCAAGTGTATGTACAGCACATATATCCAAGTGTTGCACAAATCAACAATCACAATTAAAAGATTCTCGAACAGCAAGGGCTAAGAGAAGAGACTTACAAGAACACGGGATAGTTAGATTAGTCACCATCCCTAGTGCTCTTCTAAATGTGCTTCTCCTCTCCTCCTTCCTGTCATCCTTTACAGGATCTACAGTTCTCCACAAACATCTCCTGCTTCTTCAAGCCTAGACTCATGTGTGTCCTCTTCAGCTACCATCTCGTCTGTTGCAAACTCATTCCCTAAAATTCCTGCACCCTTGGTCTTGCCTTTCTTCTGTCCAACAATTTGCCCCTGCACAATCTCGCTCCCAGCAGCTACAATTTTCATTTCATCATCCTTTCCTTGTTCACCCTTCTTCTCATCCTCTTTAACAGTAGATTCTTCTGGTACAATTTCCTTGATACAAAGATCCTTTATGCCTTCATTCTTCACCAAATGACCATTTTGCTCTTCTTTCACACCAAGGTCAACATTTCTAATATTTCTTCTTCCATCATTTGGTGCTACAAACTCAATCATTTCTTCATTATCATCAAATCCTGCTACTCTAATATCTGATCCACCTCTGTCACTTTCATTCTCATTGTCAGAACCATTTTCAACCACCTCCTCATTGACATCCTCCACTACCAGAGTCTGCCTCTCCAAAAACTGCAGCCTCCTCCTCAAGTCTCCTAGCTCCCTCTCCATAAGAAACAGCCTCTCCTTCAGCGTCAAATTCTCCTCCTCTAACTGCGCTATGTGAGTATCCTGATCATCAACTCTATTCTCCAACACATTATTGTAGTCACTACCCCCTCCATAACTGGGATATATCATCTCAAACCTACTTAAATCATGGTCCAATCTCCTCTCCACCTCTACATGCTCCTCCACATCGCTCTCACTCGATCCCCCACCATTTCCTCCTTCTTCATCCTCCTCTTCATCATGAACCACTTCTGAATCATTGTTCCCCGGTGATCTAAGCCTAATCAACCCTTTCATCGATCCATAACCGTCAACACCCCATTCTTCCTTTGCCATGTCACCCAACACCTCACTTGAGGGTGAGAACACTGGGGTTGGCAGCACTGCAGGTGTCACAGGGCAAGGTGACACCAAAGATGTAATCCCACCAGACTTTTTCGCCCTGATAATATATGAAGTGGTGTTACGCGGCGCATAGGGAGCAAATCGGACGTTGTTGTTGAACTTTTTCTTGTTGTAGAATTTCCTCGCCTTCAGACGGTTCTGGTACTGCAAATCGTTCAGCGCCGGTGGCACATACCCTTGAGTACTGCCCGGACCGACACCACCACCACCAAGACCAGCCATCACCTGAGGCTTTTCGAATTTATCCATCCTCCTATTTTCTTTGGTGGGAATTTTTTTCCCCTTCCAATTGTTACTCCTATTATTTGACTTAGCAAAATTCTGCTTCAAAGAAGAAAACTTGATGCTAGGATTGAGGTTGGCGTCCTGCGTCCAATGCTTGAAGCTACGATTCATCATCAAAGGAGGCAGATTCATCATCTGGGCACTACTCATAGGCTGCGACTGAGCCATCTGACTCATTGCCTGAGAGTGAGCAATCAACTGAGACTGGTTCAGCATCTGGGTCTGCACCTGAACCTGACCCATTACCTGAGGCGGAGGTGGAGGAGGAAGAGGCGCCTGATTGATCATAATTGCCTGCTGGCTCATCATCTGTAACTGATCGTTCATTATTAATAAAAAAACCAAAAAAAAAGAAAAAAAGAAAAAACGAAAACAAAACAAGAACCCAAAAGAAAAACTCAATCAGAAACCCTAATTCTCAGTCTTAGATTCCAACTCGTTAACCAAATTCATGGGATTGAATTGAAAAGTTAATCTTCTTCTTCAATAGAGAACCGGAAACAGGGGCAAAAGTGAATAGATTATATTCGACGAATTTTTAGTATTTTCGGTAGATTTCTGCGTCGAAGATCTGGAAAGCTCCAATTTATCCAGCGAGAATCGGGAGGAAGGGCACATATTTATAGTCGAGAAGGGGAAAGATTAGACGGTTGGATTTTGGAGATAAGATGTGAACGGTGAAGATCGAGTGTTAGTGCGCTTTTTGTGAGTAGAGTTTCATCGTTGCCCTTAACTTTTCTTTGAATTACATTTTTACCACAAATTATTTTGCCCAGAATAAAATAAAATTTCCTTAGTACTTCGCATTTTTGGCCCTTCGAATTTGTTTTTATTTTATTTTATTTTATTTCTTTATTGCTTATTAGTTGTCAATTCGATTTTCTGCTTCTTGTTTTCAACAGTAATGGATTGTTTAGGAGGAAAGGAAAGGAATCCATCGTTTTCTTTTTCATTTTTTTCTTTAATTTTTAGCTCCTTTTTAGATGTGTAACTTACAATTTTCCTTTGCCACAAATTTTAAGGAAACCCTCCAAGTTTATTCCTTTTACTTTCGGGCGCTTGACAATGATGATGAGCAAGAAATGCAGAAGAAAATGCAAAAAGGGAATATAGCAAGAGAAGTAAAATTGTCAACATTAATAACTTAGAATTCAAACACATCTACTTATTTAGAACTCCAATTTTAAGAAGCACAACAGGTTTCAAGTCCATGGACAGTCACACCTATTAAACATTTTCTATGATTGTTTAACTAATTGCCTAAATGTTACTCATGGTCTTTCCACCTTGATGAGATAAAACAATAATAATAATAAATTGTTTGAACACCACATCTGCATGAAGACTGCATTACATTGCATATGATTGAAACATCCATCAACTTCTTTTCTTTTTTCCCAAGTTGAAATTTTGGGTAATTAAATCATAAATGCTATTCAGAAACAAGAACTTCTAAATTTTACCCTTTTGAAAACAGATCTACCATGAAAAGAAAATCCTAGGTTTCTTGCCAGGAAAATGAACATGCAGTCTCTCATGTTATTGGTCCAAACATGAATTGCATAAAATTTAAGACTCATGTGATGACTTCTGAAACTAGACACTTGTCCCTTATTATTGCCTTCTTTTTGAAGGTCATCTTGTAATGTGTAAATTATACAACATTATACAAGTCACCACAAATATTCATGTACCTTAGGAGAACTTTTGACAAGCCAGTATTTCTACACAACAACAAAAAAACACAAATGCATAAAATTTCTCACCGGGCTGGAAGAACTCTGTGAAGTCCTGTGAAATAAAAGATTTCTTCAGATGAATCAGAAAGAAAAAATTAAAAGGATGAAAATAATCACATTGATGTTTCTAAGTTTTGTGCCAGACCTATCAGGGAGAGGAATATGAAGAGTGTTCATAAAAGCTCCAGGAAATTCTTCAAAAAGCTTGTGAACAGCTCCCAAAGATCTAATCTGGAAATGTGAAAGTTAAGGTTTAGAGCATAAACAACTCAGAGAATGAAAATAATATCTAAGGGACAGGAAATTTAAGAGTTACAAATTTGCACAAAATTAGAGGTTACAGATTTGTTGTTACATGAAAAGTCTGGTCCAGACCAAAAACAAAAAAATTACAAAACTCACCTCTCCAAGACGATCTCTTGCCCCAAGCAAGAATCCCCAAATGGCAGATATAATGGTGTAAAACAAGTAAATATCTAGCAGATACATCTGTTTCAAAAGAAAGAATAAAAGGAACAAAATAATATTAATATTAAAAAAAAGGAACTACTCACATAAGGAAAATGAAATATCAAACATAATCTAACAAGATATTCACTAGAAACTCAACCAAATGAGAACAAAGACTAAACATTAAAAAAGGGCCAACTTCTTAATCAAAGTTACTTTTCTTTTGGATTCCATCACAACTATAGAAATCAAGTGATCCCCTCTTAAGTTTCTTATTTATTTATTTATTTTACTTTTATGGGCAAATGAAACATTTTATTTAAACATGGAGGGTACAACTTGTACTCCACAAAATCCAAGTACAAAACTACGTCCCTCAAATAATATTAAAGATCAAAATACATATATCACACATGCAAAACCAAATCACCAACCACATGGGTTCAAAACCTAAAAGTGAGATCAAAAGTATATGAACCATCAAGAGTAGCCAACTGAGGGAATAGCACTGAATGAAGCCCACCATTTCATTAATAGAAAAGATTTTCCTTCAAATTGAAGTTTGTTTCTAAAATAGCAAAGGGACAACAATGTAGCAGCTCAAGTGCACCTCCACCATGTCACAGCAGGGACAAAATACAAGAAAAAGTCTATAGATTCTAAAAAATGTCACAGGGCAAACTTCAATTTCATTGTAAAGTAAAACAATAAAACTACTCATGCGTCATGAAAACCAACAATATCAGTATCTAACATCTTACTGAAAGTAACAGGAAGTCAACTTACAGCAACCACTGGAGCCCATAAACTAGCAACTGTCAAAGCATTATGGTTATCTGCAAGTAGAAACAGATTCAGCCAGCCATGACAGATTAAATTAAACAATTATTTCAACTGTAAACCAATGGAGGATGTAACTTTCCAGAGAGAACTGAGGAGACCCTGGAAAAGGGGGAGGGAAAGAACCCCAAGCAGGACAACATTGCAAAAGTATCAGACAGACTTTTAAATAATCGAGCAACACATTATTGATTATCTCAGTTTTAGCCAATTTGCAGCCAGAAAACACTCAATTTCAAGTCAGTAACCAATATCAGTACAAAAGTAAAAGGAGTCAGAAGGCATAGAAAATCAAGTAAAAAGCAATCTACTCTATCCTCAAGATTTGACATAAATGGTAGAAGGTAGATAGCATACGTTTTGATACAAAATCATGCCAAGAATATGTTAGATTGGTCATAGCAACTATTATCTTTGTTGGCCCAGCTAATGGCTTGATCTGTCAAAAACAAGAAATGCATTAAGAAAACAAAATCACAAAAGAGAAACACTATTTCCAAAAAGTAAAACAAATGCTTCCTAACCTGGAGAAAATATGCAAACACAAATTTTACGCCCAAGACAACAAGCCAAAAAAGCATATATCTGCAACAAAAGAACATATTACAAAATATCATTCTGAACATCTGATGAATCAAATTATCGCTATTTGAGCACAACAGGTCCCTGGTCTGATCTTTTAAAGAGAAAACAATTTAAGAAAACTATAGCTTATGTGTGTTGGCACAAGGGCAATGGGCGGCAACCCTAGAATCCCAATACTTTCAGATTACTTTCCAGTTCTCTATAAAAGAAATTCTATGAATTCTACAGGCTACAAAGCAGTGAGCTTTTGAGTCCAATAAAGCAATTAGCTGTATGTTTCTCTGAAAAAGGTTACCAGCTTTCTCAGAAGCAAAATATCAACATTTAAAAACCATCACACAATACCATCAAACTTACTTTCTAGTCGATTCTTTCTATTTTTCTTCTTAGTCTTTACACAAATGGAACAAAAGGCAAAAAACAGAAAGAACATGGGAAGAAAATGGATTCAAGGGCCGAAAATAGACGCTATGTAACAAATTGTACATCAAGGAAACATAAGGAGATAAGGATCAGATGGTAGAAACAAGGATCAGAGAGTACTTCATGAAGTCAGTGGTCCTCTCATACATGCCACGTCCAACGTAGTACCGTTCCTACAAAAATCATATGGTGCAATATTATAACCTAATAAACTACTAAAAAAATTGAACACATAAATATGAAGTGCAAACATAAAAGAATAATAATAACAAATAGAATCATGTGAAAAATAAAAGACCTGGCGCATCCAATTGATAAAGCGCATCAAAGACCAACGATCACATTGATTAGTCAGGCGGTGGCATGCTGGTATCCGCATTAGGAAACTAACAAAAAATTGGAGACCACCATAGATGCCTACAACAATCACATATAATCTGACAATAGCCGAACTTTTGAGAGATTTCCTGCATTGGAGAAAGACAACCATGTATTACTTTTATAAACTAACAAGTACAAGTAGAAACTATAAAGGGAGGGCACATTAAAACAAAAACCGGCAAGTGCAAGAGAACATACACATAAATGAAACATACAACAACTGAAACAATAGTGAACCAAATGAAACGAAGAAAAATTCTTGACAAAGCTAGGCGTCTTGTTGTTGAATACGCGCCATACATCATAAGCACATCCAAAGAACCTGCACAAAGAAATAAGATTCCAGCATTTTGAGTATATTTTTCACCTGTTGGTGCAAAAACATGCTAAATAAACCAAAGAAATGCCTAATATATTCTTGTATAGAAAGAAACCTACTTTCAATAAACTTCATCACTACATAAGTTGGCCCAAGACTAAGAACTTGCCGCAGAGTCTTGGAGTTGAATTGTCCATTGTTAAATGCCAGAATTGTGAGTCCCTAAAAGACAAAAAGGAGAAAGGAAGAATATATGTGTATACATGTACATGGAGAGAGAGAGAGAGAGACTTAGCACAGAACATATAGAGACAATGCAAAATGTTAGACTTGCAAACCTGGAACATCATAACAAGAAATATCCACAATCGATGAAAGCTGTGATATAGATGAAGAAATGTCCGGTGCTCAACAAAAGAACTTTTTCCTCGGCGTGTACCTCCACCACATTTAAGTGGATTCTGTGAGATAAATGAAACAGAAGAAAACTAAAAAGTTATGCAAGGTCATTTATAATACAAGAAATATTCAAAGCCAAAGAAACTACTGAAATCAAGAACATGAAATGGATTCCACTAAACAAGAAAAGTGATATTTGGTCAGAGAGAAACAGTAACATGCATCAAAGTGAATACCAACAGAAAATAGAATTGCAACAAATGTTCTATGGCAATACAAAGATATGCAGTGAAAAATCACACCAATTGCATTATGGAAATCCTGGAACGCAACAATCCAAGCTTCAAAGCAAAAGAAAAGGTAAAAACAAGTGTATCATTAGCAAAAAAGAAGAAGAAAAATTCTTACAGGAGCTATAGAAGCTAACTCTTCACTTGGAAAATAGATAAAGAATTATCGAAAGAAGATGAAAAAATCTTTATGTGGTCTTAATTGATTTAGCAAAGGCTTTACCATAGAGTACCTAGAGCTTTAATTTGGCAGATTCCATGAAACAAGGGTTCCCAAGACAATATATAGACATCGTTAGACAAGCATGAGGGAGTTAAAGCTACTGTAAACAAACATGAAATGAGAAAAGTGGGTACACACTTCACAGTGACTGTAGGTTCAGAAGGCATAGAAAATCAAGGAAAAAGCAGTCTACTCTATCCTCAAGATTTGACATAAATGGTAGAAGGTAAATAGCATACGTTTTGATACGAAATCATGCCAAGAATATGTTAGACTGTTCATA